AAAACTAAGATCATGGCATATGGTCCCATCACTTCATGGCAAATAGATGAGAAACAATGGAAACAGTGATAGTGATCTTTTTGAGCTCCAAAATCACTACAGATGGTGACTGCAGCCATGAAATTAAAAGATGCTTTCTCCTTAGAAGAAAACCTATGACCAACCTAGACAGCATATTAAAAAGCAGAGACATTACTTTGCCAACAAAGGTCCATCTAGTCAAAGCTATGGTTTTTCCAGTAGTCATGTATGGATGTGAGAGTTGGACTATAAAGAAAGCTGAGCGCTGAAGAATTGATGCTTTTGAGCTGTGGTGTTGGAGAAGACTCTTGAGAGTCCCTTGGACTGCAAGGAGATCCAATCAGTCCATCCTAAAGGAAATCAGTCCTGAATATTCATTGGAAGGACTGATTCTGATGCTCAAACTCCAATACTTTGGCCACCTGATGTGAAGAACTGACTCAGTGGAAGAGACCCTGATGCTGGGAAGGATTGAAGGCATGAGGAGAAGGGGACAACAGAAGATGAGATGGTTGGATGGCATCACCGACTCGATGGACATGAGTTTGAGTACACTCTGGGAGTTGATGGTGGACAGGGAGGCCTGGCGTGCTGAGGTCCATGGGGTTGCAAAGAGTTGGACAGGACTGAGCGACTGAACTGAACTGAAGGCTGGGGAGGTGGGGGGGGGGGTGGGGGGACGTGAGAATCTAATGTTTTTGATACACATTTCAAAACAATTCCCTGCTTTTAGCCCTCTCTCACTCTTACCTTCCAAGATATCTAAGAATCCAGTTTTTGAGCTTTCTTAAATTCTGTGTGGCTCACTTCCCATTGGTGTGCCCCTTGGAAGTTAGCACTTCCTTCTCTTACAGAGTTATTCAGGAGCCCTTCATCTCATTTTTATCTTCATATATTGTGATCTGAGTTTTATAAACGTCTCCTAGTTCTATCAGCAGTCAAAGTTGTGTTTCTTTATCTTGTTTTCTTTATTTGGGGGAACTTGTAAGAGAAGAATCTGGAAAAACCAGTGTATTTACTCCATCATTTTGAAATAGAAAATTCCTGTTTGATTGATCGTAAATGGAGAGTATCAGGGTTTCTCTTTGTTATGGAATTAATAATTGCCCCTTTTATCTTAAGCAAAATCTTTCATCTATTAGATGTCTTGATAGGGATTTTTAAGGGAAAAAAATGATGCATATAAAAATTGCCCTGAGAAAATTACATTAATTCCTAATTTGTTTGGTACTCTAGTAGAGACAATTATTCTATGTAAGTGGTATTTTGAAGACTAGCTTCCTTAAAGTTTAAGGAATCAAACTTCCATTTCAACAATTTCTGACTGAAATTTCTCCAAAATTTATGAAGTACTTCTCTGCATTATTAAACAGAAAAGGATGAATGTTTCTTGGTTTCTCAGACGTGTTACTGATACCATTTTTGGCACTCTGGTGTAATTTGGTGACATCTCTGAGACTGGTACCCCCTCTTTCATGGAATTCTCCTGGATGCTTGCTTTATAAATTTATAATTGATTTTGCAGAGGTGGCTGTCATGTCCCAAAGAGTCAGCTTCGGGCAGGGCTCTTCAGTCCCCTGACACCTTATTACCCTTAATTGACTGTCTGGTGTGCTTAGGAAGAGCTGAGATTGGCAGCAGAAGCAGAATATCCAGGCTCACAAAACCAGGGACAGGAACTCGAATGTCAGATCTCAGATGGTAGGCTTTGGTTGAGCGGCATGAGGACAGCTGCTCTGAGCCTGCGTGATCTTGGAGGGGTAAACATCGCGAGCTGTATGGCAGCTCTTTCTTGTCTGCTTAGCCCAGGAGCTGGCACGCTTAAGCTCTGCATGATCAACGTTTGTGGCTGGGGAGCTCTAAGTGGCCGGGGCTGTCCCACGGGCTGTAGGATGTTTCGCAGCATCCCTGGCTGCTGTCTGTCATTGCCAGTTGCACACACTGCCCCCGGTTGTCACAGCCAAACATGGCTGCAAGCATTGCCAGATATCCCATGGGGTGGGGGGTGGGGGGGCAGCACGGACTCCTGTTGAGATCTGTAGACAGTGAACCTCCTCTTTTTTCAGGTTTTATAACTCTCTTCTGGATATTTGATGTTGTTACGCACTGTGACACCAGTTGACTGGAATAGTGTTGCAATTCCCTGGACTTTTGTAAAATGTGAAATAATTCATAAAACATCCATATTTTCATGATTTACCAAACATTTATTGTTTTAGATGTACTGATTTGTTGTTTTTGTTTAGTTGCTAAGTTGTGTCTGACTCTTCGAGACCCCATGGACTGTAGCCGGTGACAGGCAGGCTCCTCTGTCCATGGGATTATCTTGGCAAGAGTACTGGAGTGGGTTGCCATTTCCTTCTCCAGGGGATCTTCCTGTGTCTCCTGCTTGGCAGGTGGATTCTTAACCACCAAGCCAGCAGGGAAGCCCAGAAGTACGGATAACTAGTGTTATCTGAGTGTTCAGCTCCTCTGGCATCCGTGGTAACCAAATGCCGGCCCCTGTTGAAAGCACAGTCAGCATCCTAAGGGGGAAATGAGCATCGGTCTCACTTGAACAGATGGGGAAACCGAGGCACAGAGCATTTAGGCAAATTGCCTGAACTTGTACAGTATGAAGGTTGCAGAGCTGAGATTCACACCCAGCTAGGACTTCAGAACACAAGCTCTTAATCAGCCCACTGTGCAGTGGTTGATCTTGAGATGCTAACACCAGAAGATGCCATGAGGGGACTTTAGTCCGTCTGCCTATTCTGAGTTCTGGGAAGGCAGGTCTGAGCCCATGTTTGTCTACTTTTGTATTGCTACTGCCTGGACCACTACTTGGCAAATAGCAGAGGCAAGGTGAAGGTTAATTTCAATAAATAAATGAAACTTTTCTAAGCACCAGTCTCATGGGTGGTTTACGAGAAAAGAGGAAACGCAACAAAAACTCAGTGTGTTTTATGGTTCCTTGAAAGAAGATGAATTGTGATACTGTAAGTCATTAATGGGTTGCAGGCCTCTTCCTTTGGGGGGATAAGTGCTGTAGGTGAAGAAAGGGAGGAATTGTGTAATTATAGCCTTCAGATGGAGTTGGTGATCTCCCTGATGACCGGCAGTCCTGGGAAATGAGACATTGTACTTAAGAGTCGGCATCGCTTTAACAAAACTCACTGAAGCGCAGGTAAAACTAGTCACGCACACTTGCAAAATTTAGCTTTCTTTTGGTGGTTCTGGAAGGCAAAATCTTGCAACACCTCTAGGTCCTTATTATAGACACCCTGTGTGCCTTCAGACACAGAGGTGCTGGTTAACTGAGAGCGTGGGTTTCTGGAGAATGTTGACTAACAGCCATTTTTTCACCTTCATTTGCGATGGCTGTGCTTTTAGAAGACCATCTGGTGCTCAGTCGCTCAGTGGTGTCTGGCTCTCTTTGACCCCGTGTGTATAGCCTGCCAGGCTCCTCTGTTCATGGCATTTCCCAGGCAAGAGAAGAAGACCATGGTACATTAGTATTCCAACATTTGCTCTCAAAGCTCTTTCAGGATTGTTCCAGGAGTGGATTGGGAATGCATACCCTGTGTTGGTCCTGCTACAAGGCTTATGTTAGCCAGTGCAGTGCTGGATGAGTTCTGTCAATAGGACCCCTTGCCAAGCTATTCCTCTGCTATAGCTGGGCTCTGGATTTCACATCACTGTTGGCCATTAAAATAAAGCTGACGCAGAATTTGAGCTGAAAAGTGCTCAGAGGTAGGGAAGATGGACTGGCCTGTCATTTTCTTCTCTTGAGTGTCATTCAGACTTTTTGTCATATGATTATGTACTTGTAAAATAGGCATGGGAAACTGAGATTAATGCAGAAAGTGTCTTAGTAAATTAACAAGTTTCCCCTGACTCATTTGCCATTTTTTTTTTTAACATCAGGGAGTTGTCTCTTCAAATGGTGATAATACAGGGAAAATTCTAGAGCAGAAATTCACCCACGTTGTAAATTCAAATCAGGAGAATCCCTGGTGGCAAAAGCAGCTGATACTCGGGCCCATCAAATGACTTAAATGCTAATAAGTAAATTTCACGAGATAAACCTAACCTTCAACATCCGGTTCGAATACCACCTCTGCCTGAGGCTTTCTGTCCATAGTCTCCCCCAGCTCAAGTTAGCTGTGCTGTCCTTGAAAACTCCCAGAGCAGTTTGTTCCTATTCCTGAAATAACAGCTGCCCATTGTGTTCTCACTTATCTATTTTCATGTCTTTCTTCCTGCCTGGATCTTGAGGTTCCAGGAGGGAACGATTCACCTTTGTGCTCCCAGCACCTGGTGTGTGTGGGCTGGTACGTAGGAGACGGTCTGTGTCTATTGGATGAATGAGTAACAGGAGAACTCTTTAAATTTCATTTTTCACACTGGGCAAGAGGAGTACTTATCATATTGGAATATTTCCAACTTGTTAATAACAAGCAGCTCATTTTTATGATTTAGAATTAAGAGTTCAGGGCACAGTGACTTTTTTTCTTTATCTACTTCCTCATTCTCTTCTATCCCTCCCACCCACCTTCCTTGAAATGTCACAAAAAAACTTGCCTAAATTTTCTTCGAGTATATCCTGGGTCCTTCTGAAAAATGCCCTCCTTTTTTTTTTTTTCTTTTTAAAGTGTCTGTGTGTGTGTTCAATCACTCAGTCGTGTCTGACTCTTTACCACCCTGTGGACTGTAGCCTGCCAGGCTCCTCTGTCCTTGAGATTCCTCCTGGCGAGAATACTGGAGTGGGTTGCCATGCTGCTTTCCATTTTTTAAGTGTAGTTGATTGGCAATGTTGTGTTATTTTCAGGTGTACAGCAAAGTGATTCAGCTCCATCTTTTCAGGTGTAGCGTTTTCAGATTCCTTTCCCTGATAGATTGTAGCGAGATGCTGACGTAGTCCCCTGTGGTACACGGTAGGTCCTTGGTGGTTGTGTTTTATATGTATTGTTGAAGAACACCCCTCTCTTTCTTTTCAGGCGGGTATTAACGAAAATGATTTTTACGACGGGGCATGGTGCGCGGGGAGGAATGACCTCCATCAGTGGATTGAAGTGGACGCCAGAAGACTGACCAAGTTCACGGGTGTCATCACTCAAGGGAGGAACTCTCTCTGGCTGTAAGTATGGCTGGACCCGTGCTTAGGCTTTGGGCTGTGAATCTGAAGTTCTAGGGTTCAGACAGAGTCAGGAAAGTCGCAGAGAAGAATCTGGTGACCGGCAATAGAAGGGAAGAAAGTTACAGGGAAGACGGGAGGCTGGCCTTGCTGTAGACACCCTGGGAAGGTGCATCTTTTGATCCACAGCTTCGCCAGCACAGGAGCAGAGAGAGGGATGCGCAGGTTAGACTGGGGAGGCAAAGGTCCTCTTTGGCAGGTAGCGGCCTTCTTGGATGTGGGGTGAGTTACTGGCGCCCTGACAGGTGTGCTGACAAGTGTTCAGTGCACCCAAGCAGTGAGCAGCAGGTCGCTGGCTCCACCCACTGTCGTGGGGTAGAAGGAATGAATCTCCCTGATCCTGGGGAGAAAGAGGAAACACATGCAAGCTCCCGAATAAAGAACTTCTAGAGGCGGAGGAGAATTGAAGAATGAACCAGTGAGAATAAGATGGAATCCCATTGCTCAGAACGGAGCTTGAGATCAAGGCTGGGTCAGTAAGAACAGTAATCCCCAAAGAGGCGGGCTATAGCCCCTTACAATGCTGCATCTCATGGTGCTGTGCTGTGGTTGATCACTTCAGTTGTGTCCAACTCTTTGTGGCCCACCAGTCTCCTCTGTCCATGGGATTTTCCCAGCAAGAATACTGGAGTGGGTAGCCATGCCCTCCTGCAGGGGATCTTCCTGACCCAGGGATCAAACCTGCATCTCCAGTGTCTCCTGCATTACAGGCAGATTCTTTACCCCTGAGCCACCGGGGAAGCCCAGTCTCATGATGGATATATACAACGGAATACTATTCAGTTTTCAAAAGGAAGGGAATTTAACACACAGTAGAATATGGATGAACTTTGATGACATTATGCTCAAGGCAATAAGCCAGACACAAAAGGACAAAACACTGCATGATGGCACTTCCATGAGGTTCCTAAAGCAGGTAAAGTCATAGAGACAGAAAGGAGAAGGAACAGTGGCTACCAGGGTCTGGAGGGGAGGGGAATGGCGTTATTATCTAATGGGTACAGAGTTGAGTTGAGGATGATGAAAAGTTCTGGAGATGGATGGTGGTGACGGTGTCACAGAATCGCACACTTCCAAATGGTTAAAAGGATACATTTTGTGTTATGTATATTCTGCTACAGTAAGCAAAAAAAAACTATACAAACAAAACAAAACCTTTCACTTCATCCCAGGGCTGTTGGTAGAGACAGAGGCAGGACAGTATCTGTGAGGTTTTTCTGTGGCTCAAATTGTGTCCAGAGCAAACCTGCAGAGACTGGGGGCTGGGTGAGAGTCAGGAAGGACTGCAGAGCCTTGGGCGTTTTCTGAATTTAAATAAGAACTTTTTAGTTCCTCTGGCATCTGTCTCTATACTGAGAAGCCAGGAGCACAAACACCCCACACTTAGACATCAGGAAACTGTGCACCTAGTTAGCCAAGCATCCTCCTGGGCTGCTCGGTCTGCACACCCAAATCCCGTATCTTGACCCCTTTTGTTTTATTGATTACTGGTCGCAACCAGACTTCCCTGATGGCTCAGCGGGTAAAAAAATCCATCTGAGATGCAGGAGACACAGGAGACGCGAGTTCGGTCCCTGGGTCGGGAAGATCGCCTGGAGGAGGAAATGGCAAACCCACTCCAGTGTTCTTGCCTGAAAAAATCCCATGGACAGGATCACAAAGAATCAGACAGGACTGAGCAAATAAACTGACAGAAAGAGACAGTTGGCGGCCATATAAAATCTATCACTGGTTGATTAGATTAATTTGAACTCCTAGAAAGGTCAACACTGATAAATAAACCAGGATAAGAGAAGGGAACCTGGCATCTGTGCTCACATTTAAATGCCTGTCATTGTCACTGTAAAGGGGACTTTCTTATTAGATGCCAGTTGTCAGGAAATGACTCATCCTGTTTTCGTCTGAATCCTTTTTTTATTGTAAAGACAAGACTGTAACCACTAACAACGTTTAAAAACATTACTGGTGATTCCACTGTCCTTAGGCAAACAGAACTTTTCTACATATTTGTAATCATATTACCTACGCGATTATTATTTTTAATTTATCCATAACATGTTCATGTTGTGACTCAGATTTCATAATGATCGTTGTTAATAGCCTATAATTTACTCAGCTATGCCTCACTCACCAACTCAATTTTCCACTATCATCTATCATTTTGCAGGAGAGCATCTACATACTTTTTTTCTTCCTTTGAATTACTTCCGTCAAATAAATTTCTAGAGCAGGGATAATTTGTGCATTTTGACGATGTTGGGTTATGTATTTGTGCTACTTTGCATATCACATTTTATTCACTTTACTTTCCAGTAGCACTTCTGTATGTGTTCATTTCTGCTGATGTTTGCTCTGTGGTGTGTGTTTTGCTCATCAGTGGCTTATTACCATAACAATTGTTTTCACTGTGTAGATTCTTAAAAGGCAAGGAATTTAGAAGGAGCAAAGTCGAATTGCTCAGGGAAAATAGAAACTCAGAAAGAAAGACTGATTTGCGATGATCTGTAGGGATGAGAGAAAGGGCTTTACCTTAATGCTTGGATATTAGCCTGTCTAATCACTATCATTAGACTTGCAGTAGTTCGGTTATTATTGGATCAGAAAGAAAGAGCTGGGTAGGAGTGCCGCTCACATTCTATTTCAGCTGGAAACACAAGAGGGTTTGGAGTGAATAAGAAATTATAGTAGAACAATATCTTTGTTTGACTTAGCCCGGGACAGGAACATCTAGAGGGAGGCAACGGATAGAATTGCTTTCAAGAGTCAGTTTTTTAATGTCTAAATGTATTTCAAGTCAAGGACAATGAAAAGAAATCCAATGAGTTTCAGTTTATCTTACCTCCTGGAATAGAACTATGCACTATGGAGTGAGGAGGAAATGGTCAAGAGTACATTTTGGTATCTGAGCCCCTTTTCCCAGAGACAAGAATAATGCTGGAGGCATTGGCTGTATCCTGTTATGAGCAGAAAACTTGCCAACAACAGAAACCACCAAATCCCCATAGTAGAGAAGGCAGTAGTTGTCTTTCTTTCCCTCTCCCAGGCTGTCCTTGAGTTGTTCCCATGTGGCCATCTATGGCATGACTTTCAATATTTTCGTTTATTGGTTTCCATATTTCTCCCCACTAGTCTATGGACACAATAGAGGCAATGCTTTGATAGTCTGTGTCTCTGGGACCTGGCCTAGTACCAGGCATCCGGTAGATGCTCAATGAATGATTCTTAATGAATATTGTAAGGAAGTAACAAATTAGCAAAAAGCCATTCACACTGAATACTGATGCGTTAATTAATTTATGAGTGTAAATGACTGAGAGCAGGCTTAAATTGTAAGGGGAGAGGGAGGGGATGTGAAAAGCCTAGTTGAGGAGTGACGAGGATTTTCAGAGATGAAGGCATGTAAAACAACGTGGCTTTGGAATTACAGCATGGCTGACTCTTGCTGGTTATGAGATTTTTCTTCTTTGAACCTCAATATACTCTTCTATAAAATGGGTTAACTACTGTGTAGCTCATAAAGATGCGGTGAAAGTTAAATGCACTTATGTTAATGATGTTTCAAAGTTACCCAGCACATAATAAGTGCTCAATAGATGGGGCTTTCTTCCCTATGCACCTTCTTGGGTTTATCTCAAACAGTGGCTTTCAAGCTTATTTTTAGTCACAGATCTTCCTTCATATAAAGTCTTTCTTGGAAACATTTAGAAAATACAGATAGAACTTCTCCCTTGGTCCAGTGGTAAAGAACGTGCCTGCCAATGCAGGAATCTGGGTTCAGTCCCTCGTCCCGGAAGATCCCACATGCCTTGGGGCAACTAAGCCCATGCACCCCAAGTACTGAAGCCTGAGTGCCCTAGAGCCGGTGCTCAACAATGACAGAAACCACTGCAGTGAGAAGCCTGTGCACCTCAACTAGAGAGTAGCCCCCACTCGGCGCAGCTAGAGAAAGCCCGAGCACAGCGACAAAGACCCAGGGCAGCTTTAAATAAATAAATAAACCAAAAAGGAAAAAAAAAGTACAGGCAGGTGAGGCTGCTTCCTGTCAATCTGGTAGTGGGGAGCATTACCTGCCTGGCCCTCCCTTCGCCCCCTCCCAGGCGCATCCTTGGAGGGTGTATCTATCCAAGGATCGCTGTGTAACAAGCATGCTACACAGGGAGCCTCTCTGCAGGTTACAATCCTGCCAGCTCCTCCAAGCGCTGATTGATTCTTCCTGACTCCAGCCGGGTAACAGGTAGATGTGGATTTCAGACCAAAACAAGCAATGGCAGAGTTGGAGTTAGAGTCTGATTTCTTCAAGTTAAATGGGAAGAACATCCGCTTAATCTCAAGAGTGCTTGAGATTTGGTTGGTGATGTTTTAGAAATGGAAGGAAAATGGGGTGATGGCTCCTTCGGGTTGGCCAAACGGATGTTGTTATTTGTAAATAGTGCCTATCTGATTGTTAGAATGCACAAGCACTTTGGAGTGTTAACCAGTTCAGTTCAGTTGCTCAGTCATGTCCAACTCTTTGTGACCCCATGGACTGTAGCACGCCAGGCATCCCTGTCCATCACCAACTCCTGGAGCTTGGAGTATTAATATCAGAACAGTGAATATTTTTCATTCATAAAACTTTTGTGGTTGGTATTTTAACATGGCCATCCATCATCTTATTTGTTCCTGACCTCCTCTCTATGTGCTTATGAATTCACTCATCTCTTTATTGAGCACTCTGAACTGAACACTCTGTACAAGAAGTGGCCTTCCTTCAGGGAGCTCTCAGCCTGGAAGAACCCGGTATGTTGACAGATCCACTAGAACTGGCACAGTCCACACCGTGGGATGGGAAGAGGGACGCTGTTCTCACACCTGTGATTCAGATGTGAAGGGCAATACAGGAGATGGCGATGCTTAGCTACAATCTGGGACTAGCTCATAACCAAGTTGACGAAAAGCTGTAT